ACATCCTGAAGGGCAAGCAGTTGGGGTAGGAAGGGGCACCAGGAGGAGAGAGGGGAACACTGGGAGGTTGGGAGGTGGGGCCGCTGGATACAAACATGTTTGATTCTAGAATTTGTCCCAGGTCCCTGGAAGGGCCGCTGACCTTCTGTGTGCAGGCTGCTTTTCCCTCCTACAGGGCCTCCCGACTCTGAGGTTGCTCCCCAAAAGTGACAGACTCTTCAGAGGGAACCTGTGGCAGACAAGGCCTCCCTGCCCCACCCTTTCGCCCTCACCGCGCCGGGCTTTGGGAAGGGTAAGTGCACACAGGGGAACGAACAGTTGTGCCACTCTGAAATGCCCACTGCAGTAGGCTCAGAGGACCCGCAGTGGGGAAAGGCTGGCGGGGTCCCAGGAGAGGAGGAATGGGGTCTGTGTAGCAGTTTGTCGGGGTGCGGCATGGACCTCTGTGGCCCCGCCAAGTGGAGACCTCCTGGAGGCCCTGCACACCCGCGTGCAAGAGCAGGCCCTGGGGTCGGATAAGGGCCTAGACGAGCGACAGTCTTATTGTCTGTTGGTTCATTACTGTTACCCTGTCACATATTTGAGGTCTCAAAATAAGACTCGGTGCCTTTTCTACACAGACTCCTGTTTCTCTGACCCCAAGTTACTGTAGGCCACCACCTCAGTGGGGGCATGCAGCTGTAGGCTGCCACGGTGAGTTTTGTGAACTTTTCCCAACTCATCTTTTTCACTTGTCACCTGCTTCCCCTGGCACAGTCTTTTTTTCCATGGTCACAAGAGAATATATATCCGCCCTTCCACAAATCAGATGGACGGGATCCCAGGAAAGGGCCATCTAGAAAGCCCTCCTTCCATGGAGGATCTCCTTAGACTTGAAAGGCAACGTTGAACCTGTCCAACGACTGATTGATCTTTCTCTTGCAAAGGATCTCATTCCTCTTTAAGACAACTCCAGACGTTAGAAAGTTATCTTTCTTTACCTGGGCACTGCTGCCTCTTGGACTCTTTCTCCTGTTGGCTCCAGCTGGCCAGACTTTTGGTAAAATCCTTCCCCTACCTGACAGACCCTTAGAAGTCCAAGGCCTATTCTAATGCATTCCGTAAGCCTCTTCTCCAGGTTAAAGTGCACATGTTTCGCTGGCCTGTCCTCAGTAGCCTCCTTCTCCCACCTTCCCCTACCCGCTCCACCGAAGAACCCTTTGCTGTCAGCACCGCAACTCCCTTAACATCTTGGGGACTGAAGGAGCAGGCCATGCCCCGTGCAGCCCTGTGCAACACCCACCTGGCCAGGACTGGAGAGGATTTTACTCACACAAGTTCAGGAGCACCCAGAGGTCAGGGCCCATTGTGTCCAGTTCCTTACCCCTTCCCCATGTTCACTTCTGACCCTCAGTGGACACCCACTCCCAGAATGAGGACCCAATGATCCTAGAATACCCAAGCTAAATGGAATATTACCTGGTCCTGTATTTTTGACACCACACTATGGTCACCCCTAAGCCCTCAGCCATGAGCTGGGGCTTCTTGAAGCTACAGGGCAGCCAAAAAATACTCTGACTTTACTAGAAGATCTAGAGAAAGGGCGAGTAACGTAACTGGCAAATATTCAAGATGATATTTTTATATTAAGACAAATGCATATATATTATGTGATAGAATGTAGAAACATGAAATTCAAAGCCAAAGCATGGGACTTCAGAGGAATTTTACAAAAGGAGAAGGTTACTTCAGGCTATTTCCTTAGAGTTCAGTTCCCAAGTCTGCAATGGGCTGGCCTCTTCTCCCAGGGGGTGTTTGGGTAGAGAACTTGGAGAGTTCTCAACCTTCTTTGTTAATAGAGGTGAGGCAAGTAAAGACCAGAGTAGAGAAGCGATTAAGCTAAGCACACAGAGCTCGGCGGATCCTGGATTTGAAACCCAGGTTTGTTCTTTCCTCTGTACCAAGAAATGCTGCATTAGGTTTTTAAGAATGCTTACCATAGCAAGAAAACGGAGGAAACACAGAAAAAGGGCTCTGGGTTAACCCTTAGTGATCCAGAAAACGCAGTTCAAACAACAATTTTAGTCAGAGTCTGGATTTAGTCTGGATTCTGAGTAGAGTCGACGTCGTTCCGCGACGGTATATTTCCTTACCTCTTTTAGAATCCTGCATTTCCTGCTTGGGAAAGAGGCTCAGGTGAAAAAGGAAGTCCAACGCCAGTGCCGGGACATGAGAGGAAGGAGGCCGAGGTGGTGGCAAGGCCATCTGGAGGCCACTCTGGATGCCATGCCAGGAAACTGGTAGAACTGGCTGTGTTAAAACGGTCAGCAACCCTTCCGCATGCCCTTGCTCACACAGCACGGGCAGTAACTGCATGTGCGCATGCGCACTCACGTACACCCGCCTCGCACTCAGGCTCACAGATGCCCCAAAGCTTCTGATCAAACAGTGGCTCACAAAGCTGGAGGAGGCAATTAAGAATTGAGTTCCTACCAGGCAACCACCCACTAACAACTGAAATGAGATTTGGAAGGGGGAAGTCAACCTTAGCCAGGGAATTCAGCAAGCATAGCTTTCTTTTACTCAAAACACTGTCCTTCAAATTATTAAATGAGGGTCAAGAGTAGGTGTTTTTTGTAAAGGTATCTGACATCGCTGCAAGTTTGTGACACCCAATTGTCAAAACCTTAAGCAATGAATGTCTATAGATTGGCTTGTTGCTGTCACCTCTCACAGAAGTGCAACTCTCAATGTAATTCAAGTCAATTAATACTGTTTAATAAATAGGCCAGAAAATTAGCTGAGAGTTTTTCTCGGCGGGATGCGGCGTGCAACCAAAGTTATGGAAGATTGTCCCTTGAATCACTAAGGCAAACTTTGTTGAGTGTTATTTTACATAAAGCAATCACATAAAAAAGAGTTATAAATAGAAAAAATCCCAAAGTTCTCCCATAGACAGACAGGGAAATCAAAACATCCAAAAAAAAAAAAAAAAACAAAACAAAACAAAAAGCAACCCCCATTACCCCACAACCCATTTGCTTCAAGTTCTTCTTGAATATACAGTACTCAGCATCTTTGGATATTTTACAATGTACAACTCCAAACTTCAGCCAAGAGAAAACAAAGAGAACTAACCAGTTATCTGAAAAATTGAGTTTATAAGAAGTCATTAACTTTACAAAATAAAAACAAAAGCCCCAACACCACTGGATTCCAGTTTGTCCATTTTTCCTTGTTTTCTTTTAAAGTTTGGGTCAGCCCCAATCCCTTGGCTGATGGGGGGACATGACAAATGACTGAAATGGAGACAAGAATCTAAGAGGCAGCTGTCCAGGCAGGTGACATATGAAGACAAGAGGGCGTCCAAAGCAATTCCCTCTGGCCGGAATGGCATCTGGTGGTATGTGGCATCAGGGGTCTTTTCTGCGGAGCTGGGGGAGTGACAGAGTCTGTGGTCTTCTCTGGCCTTTTTGTTTTTTG